TGAACTAAGATTTTGATATAACAATAATTTGTAAAATTGATTTTGAACTTAATCAAATTTGTAAAAAATTTATCAAAAATAATTCAAAGTCCAAATTAACTTGAAAAATATGTTTTAAATGTTTTCCAACTTAGTCGAACCTATTTAAAAGCATACTCAATCGTTTTTGCGCTTTAAAGTCAAGTTTCCAAGTATTTTTGGCTCAAAAGATTGATCCCCTAGTAAAAGGATCAATCCCTTTAACTAAAGGATCGATCCCTTCACCAAAAAGATTGATTCCTCGATGAAAAGAATCAATCCCTCCCCTCAAAGGATCGATTACATTCTTACAATGGTTGAACTATTTGAAAAAATATCGTTCTCTTATGCATTAAATGTTATTTTTGGCTTTTGGTAATGACTATAATGATCCCCAATGGCTAGAATTAGTGGAGAAGGTATAAATTGAAGGTAAAAGCTTACCAAGGTTAACAAGAATCATATTGAACCAACCTGCCAACATCAAAGTTTTTTTGTTCTTTATTTGTCAAATTCTTTGTTATAAACACACTTGTGAGTTACATTGTTTATTTTGCTCAAGTGTGTATTGGGTGAGTGCTTAAATTGTGCAAAGATATTTTCCATGCAAGGTTTTCTCATTTGTTTACTTTATTTGTATTTACTCTTTGGGAGGGTGTGTATTCAAGGTTTTAGGGTATAAGCCTTGAAATGCTTGTAAGGTTACACATTATCCTTAAAGGTAAGTAAATCTAGTAGATTTGAGAAATTCTTAGTGTGGATGCTAAGGTAGTGGATGTAGACTTTGATTTAGAAAGTTGAACTCCTTTAAATCGTTGTGTAAAATTTTATTTTTCAGTTGCTCCCATAAATTTCTTAAAAGGTAAATTCACCCTTCTTGATGGTTTCCGGTTGATCGATAAAGCTACCAGATAGATGTGGAAATAGTGTATGATCATGTAGGGTGGTCCTTTTTCCGAGCTATTTTACTCCGTCTTGATTTTGTCGAATAATGGGTTTCGTTGGATATGTCGTGTGTTACTTTTGTATCCTACCAAATCCGTATTAATGGTAGCTTATCTGATAGTTTTCGGCCGTCTTGTGGTCTTTGCCAAGGTGAACCTTTATCACCATTTTTATTTATTCTATGTGCTCAAGGGTTATCTTCACTTTTACATTGGGAGCAATGCCATAATCGAATACAGGGTCTAAGAGTGAGTCGATCTAGTCTACGAGTTATCCATCTTTTTTATGCTGATGATTGTTTACTATTTTTACACAACGCCGAGTCTAAATTTACCCGAGTTCGTGACGCTCTTGCTTTATATGAGAGTTATTTTGGATCAAAAAGTGAATTTCACAAAGTCAAGTCTTTATTTCTCTCCATCTACTCCTATGTGGTTACAAGTCAGTCTTACCTCTCTTGTGGGGGTTACTTCTGTACCGGATTCAGGTATCAAGGGCGTGGCTGAGCCGGCGCAAACTGCGTGACGGCGCAGGGCCCAAAAAATAGGGCCCCAAATGACTATTGAATCCGACAATGATCGGTGTCGGCTGGCGGCTGGTAACCATTGTTCTTCTGGAAATGAACCAGACGCATGGCTTTGAAAAGGGTGATTGGCCTTAATATAATATTGTAAGGCGAAACTCCATTAGAAAAGGTGGGGAACACGAAAACAGCTGTAATACAGCTAAGCATTGCCCCTGCCTTTGGGGAACAAGAAAACTGGAAAACATCACCCATTTGGTGTAATACATCTGTATTAATACTGCTCATTAATATAATATTGTTCATTAATAGTCAGTGAGGAACCACGCCATTAATTTGGTATAATACAATTTTTGCTTGGATGCATAAAAAGGGCCCCTTGATATATAAAAAAGGGCATATAAAAAATATATCATGTGGTCAAATATTTGGGAGAAAGCAAAGGGGAACTTGGATGCATAAAAAGGCTCCTTTATAAAAATTTGTATAAGCCCCCAGATAACCTAGCCACGGCCCTGTTAGGTATGTATCTTGGGATGCCTCTACTCATTGGTCGAAACAAGACTCAAGCATTTGGATTTCTTCGAGATATAGTGTCTTCAAGAGTTTGGGACTGGACAAAGAATTTGATCTCTTATGGTGGTCTTGCCGTTTATATTAAAGTTGTGGGATAGGCGTTGCCAACATATGTAATGGGTTACTATTTAATTCCAGATGGAGTATTATCGAACATTATTGCATCTCTTTGCGCTTATCGGTGGACGGGAGAATCTTCATCTCGAGGATGGCCTTTCGTTGCTTGTTACACTCTTTGTCAATCGAAAAGAATGGGAGGCTTTGGCTTCCACGATCTTCGACTTTTCAATATGGCGATGCTTGACAAGCAATTGTGTATGATAATTCAGCAGCCCTAGTGTCTCGTATTTTAACAGAAATGTCATAACCATTTTTTTAAAACAAATTAAATTTAAAAATAATTATGAATTTAATTTGAAAAACTGGGGATTTATGAATTGATTTGGATTAAATTAAAAGGGAGTCGTCATCGACCTTTGGGTTAGGTAGGTCGAATACCTAAAAACGTCTTTTATAACAATTTTAAGAAAAAATCGTTTTTAGACAAAACTTGGTCTGCATTTACCAAAAATTCAATTTTTACGGGTTTGTGAGTCGATTACACGTGGGGAATGATTAGCACCCCACAGCGCCCAAAATTAGTACTTAGTCACTTACACATCGTCGTAAATGGAGGAAATAATGAATTTGTATCAATAATTAAAGTATGATCGATTTATTAAAGTTAATTAATTTGCTTCAACTTATTTGTTAGGAAAAATCCTTTAACTTAAAAAGAAATCTTGAGATTAGCAATCCACCATCAGAAAAACTACCTCGTCTATTTCTTATCTGTAAAGAATATTCATTCCTCGATAAAAACTTGAATCGAATATAAATGGAAAATAGGCATTTACATAAAATAAAATAAATTGTTACATAAAACACATTAAATCATAAAAAATGATTTAATTAGTAAAATAAGCTAAATTTATTTCAAGTTCCCATTTCATTCGAACGTCGTATCAGATCACATTACTTCGATCAAGTAATGCTTTCCATACCCGTTCTACAAATTGGTGCTCTTGAAAGTATTTGAATAATATACAATAGATAAAGAAACATGAGGGAAATAAATATTTAAAAAAATATAACCACATATACTTATACAACAATCATGGATAATATTTATTTAATATAATACATATAATGTAAAATATATTCATACATGGGGAACTAGAATAAGTGTAACAGAAATTTAAAGGATCGAACTATGATTACAACACAAACCATAATCTCAATTGAAAATATCAAACAATAGAGACTGAAAACAAAAATAACCTATAAGTAATAATAAGGACTAAAATAAACTAAACAAGAAAATATAAAAGGACAAATCATAATTATACCAAAATGCATTCATACCAAAGAGGTGACCAAAAAACAGATTCATAAACCTTAGGGTCTAATTTGAACATCAACAAAAATCATCCAAAACATGAAATCAGTGACTAAAACGAAACCATTACAAATATCATAGCCAAAGTCAAACACTAATAGAAACTTAACAAAAATGCAATAACAGGGAAAAAAAGGCGACTGAAATAAATTAATATAAACATGTAATGCTTAAATATAGATAAACTAAAATACAAGGACCCAAGATTAAATATAAACATAAAAGCATTTAAAGTCAAATGAGGATGCAATTATAACATAAACAAAATAGGGGCTCAAAATAAAAGGAAATAAAAGTTTCATTAGTGACTAAAATAATAAGGTATAAAATCAGAAGCACCCAAAGTGGAGTTTACCCATATGTTGAAATTGCACTACGATCCTTCTCTAAACGACGCTGTTTGACATTCCATATATGCTTAAAATGGGTCCAAATCGACCCTCATTCTTCATTTTGCATCCTTAAGAGAGAGAATAGTATTAGAGATTCACCCAGAACCGGTGGAACTCCGCCGCTGACCGACGGCAATCACTGTCTGCTGGCATCGGAAGAGAGAGAAGAAGATGCCATCCGAAGTGCCTTTTGGCTATGAGTAAGAATCTGGGCCTCATTTGGCCTAAAAATGGCCCAAACGTTGTAGATCCAAGAAGAAACTCTTCGGTTTCTTCGGCTCCGACGACCGTGCGACGGTGTGGCACCAAAAAGGTAGCCTCTCTTCTTTGTTTTTTTTTTGGCTTCTCTCTAATTTCTTTTAGTTCAAATCTCCCTTTTTTTTCTTTGTTCGATCTGTTTTCCCTCTTTCTTGTTGTTTGTTTTTTTCTTTGAAAACTCTCTCTGAAAAACTCTTTTTTTCTATTCTCCCCCCTTCGAATGCTTCTCTGTTCTCTCCCCCTTTGAATGCTTCTCTCTGTCTCCTTATCTATTTGCATGTCTTCTCCTCTCTACCGCCGAGGAGATAGGATAATGATATCTATCTCCAGTGATTGACTAAATGAGATTTGTTTTCAAATTTGCTTTCTTTTTTTTCTTTTTTCTGACTGATGATGACTGATTATTTGCTTTTTCTCTGACTGATTTGGTGACTTTCAGTCATTATTTGATGGATTGGTTCAGATCGGCTCCGATGATGATGGCGGTGAGGGCGTGCTCAGCTTAAGCGGTAGCTGGTTGAGATCATTAGGGTGAAACCCTAATCCTTGAGCGATCTGGACCATTGGATGGGTCCAGATCCAAGGACTTTAAGACCGGGGTGGCTACTGCTAAGGAAGAAACCCTAGTCGGGTTGTCAAGTGGGCTTGGGTCGGATCCTGTGTCAGGTATGTATCCCGATTCTGGGCTCCAGTTCGGGTCGACTTGGTCTCCTTTTGGGCTAAAACTGGGTGGGGCTTGCTTGTAATATGGTTTGTGCTTCATTTGTCGGGCCTGGATTGGTTTGTAATTGACCTGCAAAAAAATAATGTAAAATTTATTAATAATAATAATATCAATAATAAATAAATAAAAACTCTACAAGTAATATTTCCCATCGAGTTACATTCTTCAGGCATCTCTTGGTGATCACCTTTCGTTTGCGTAGAGGAGCTTGTTTAGTGCCATAAAAGAATTCTGAATTGGGTTCCATTGGTGTGTTGGGATAAATAGTAAGTTTCCTATGCATGGTGCGATTTGGGGTGGAGTCTACTCGGTTCAGTTTGAGACTAATTACACGGATAGTACAGTGCAGGCTGTCTTGTGTGGGGATTTTATGCTTTCAGATATCCCTTGTTGGAATGTTCCTCTTGTTCAGCAAGTTTTTACAGCTAGTGATGCTCATGAGATTCTTCAGTGTGCTATCTCCCCCATTCATTTCGATGTTCTTATTTGGAGTGGCCATTCATCAGGTACTTACTCTGCCCGTTCTGGATATAGATGACTTGTTCGTCGTCAGGCACCAACAGTTCAAGCATCCAGGCTTGGGTATTTCTTTTGAGATTACACACTTCCTCAGGTTCGTACGTTTGGATAACGTGCTCCTCATGAGACCTTACAAGTTGGTTGTTGTCTCACACACCTCGGTTCTATTGGAGTTCAATGTTGCTTATGCGATTCTCCGGAGGAAATGATATCCCGTGCTTTAAGGGATTGCTCGATGATCTCCCCAATCTTGACAACGGCATGATTCATCCGAGTGTCGGTTACTATGAGTTTCTCATCTTTTAGTGCATGGTTAGAGAATATGATGCTCAAATTGACTGTTCATCGATTCATTGTACTGTTGGTATTGCTCTGGAGGATATGGCATCGCCAGAATTTGTTTCTTTTCCTCATAAAGGTCAACTGTTACCAGGTTGGCAACTAATCTCTTCGGCTAATGCTATTCAATCAGCCTTCTCCTCTACTATGGCTACATATTCATCATCGTTTACCGCTTTGCACTCAGGTCTTTCTATTCAACGATGGTAGAAACCTCCCGTGGGTACTTTCAAGATTAACGTTGATGGGGCTTTACCTCGTCCTCCTGCGTCCACGACTATTGGAGTTCTAGTCCGTCACAGTGTTGGTTTAGTCCTGGAGGGTCAAGCTATCCCAATCTTGGAGACACACACAACTGGAATCATTGAAGCTTTGGCAATTACTCGGGGAATTCGACTAGCGGTGGAACTGGAGCTTTCATCCGCCGTGATCGAAAGCGATTCAATGAATGTAGTGCAACAACTTCAAAATCCAACCAATGACCGATCTACTCTCCGATTCTACCTTCTTGAAGCACGACAGATATTGGATGCTCATCGTCACATCTCAATTCCGTTTACTAGGCGAGAGGCCAACAGTGCAGCACATGCTCTAGCAAATTACTCCACGACATCAATCCTGCCTCTATTTTAGTTCTGTAATTCCCAACTGGATTCATGTTGTTGTACATGCTAACTCTGTGTTTACTTAATGAATGCCGCTTATTTTTTTAAAAATAATTAAATTATAACAAATATGTGAGTAATCAAAATATATTACTTTGATAAAATATAAGATAAAATTAAAAAAATGGCATTTGTGACAATTTACTCTAAAACATTATCAATTATTTAAATTTTTTATAATTTTAGAATATTATTGTATAATACTTAATTGCACAAAATATTATCAAATAACATAAACTGATATAACTTTATAATATTTGTATAATTACATAATATATGTTATAATGTATATAAAATACTACCTAAATTACAATATTTTACTTTGATTAAATTTATTTCACTAAACTCAGAAACTCCGGTGAATGAAATTTGAAAGTAGTTTACCGAAGGTGATTGTTCTAATGAGCAACATTTTACCGATACGATGAAACGGCACCGGTTCGGTTAACACCCAGTCTAAAACCAACTACATAAACCTAACCAAACCCTTACATTTAGTCCTTTCCCAACTTCCCGCCTTTTATCTGAGATCTTCCCTCCATAGTCCCATCTCCATGGCCGACAAGAAGAAGCGCCGCCGTGCCGACTCAGATTCCGAGTCTCATCCCAGCCTTTCAAGAACCTTCTGAAATCCGATGACCAGATCCTTCAAATCCTCAAATCCTTCACCTCCTCTTTCTCCTCCTCTTCCACGTCAAAACCCTTAACCCTAGCCGACCTCGCCCTCTCTACCGCCTGCCGAGAAGTATCCGACCTCTCGCTCTCCTCCGTCCAATCCGCCATCGAATCCCTTGTTCTCCATCTCACCCACCAGATCCTCTCCGGCCAAGGCTTCTCCTTCACCGTCCCTTCCCGCTCTTCCACCAACCAACTCTACGTCCCCGAACTCGACCGAATCGTCTTAAAAGACAAATCCACCGTCCGCCCTTTCTCCCACATCTCCTCCGTACGCAAAACCACGATTACCGCCAAAATCCTCTCCTTAGTCCACCAACTGTGCCTCAAAAACATCCACGTCACCAAGCGTGACCTCTTCTACACCGACGTGAAACTCTTTCAGGACCAGATTCAATCCGACGCCGTTTTGGATGATGTTTCCTGTATGCTCGGCTGCACTCGATCCAGCCTGAACGTAATCGCCGCGGAAAAAGGAGTGGTCGTTGGGAGACTTATTTTTAGTGACAACGGAGATATGATTGATTGTACTAAGATGGGAATGGGAGGAAAAGCAATTCCTCCTAACATCGATCGCGTTGGAGATATGCAAAGCGATGCATTTTTTATTCTGTTGGTAGAAAAAGATGCAGCTTATATTAGATTAGCTGAAGATAGGTTTTACAATCGGTTTCCTTGTATAATTGTGACTGCCAAAGGCCAACCCGATGTGGCTACAAGGTTGTTTTTGAGGAAAATGAAGACAGAGTTGAAGCTTCCGGTGCTGGCATTAGTCGACAGTGATCCGTATGGATTAAAAATTTTGTCTGTGTATGGTTGTGGATCGAAGAACATGTCCTATGACAGTGCGAATTTGACTACCCCAGATATCAAGTGGTTGGGGATTAGACCGAGCGATTTGGATAAGTATAAGATACCGGAGCAATGTAGGTTGCCGATGACAGAACAGGATATTAAGACTGGGAAAGATTTACTGGAGGAAGATTTTGTGAAGAAGAACCCTGGGTGGGTTGAGGAGTTGAATTTGATGGTAAAGACTAAGCAGAAGGCTGAGATTCAGGCCTTGAGTTCATTTGGGTTTCAGTATTTGTCCGAGGTTTACTTGCCATTGAAATTGCAGCAGCAGGACTGGCTTTGAGCATGTGTGGTAAGCACCAAACATGGGGAATTTGTTGTTTGATGTTTATGTATGAGAACTTGGAATTTTGTTCAATGTTTGTTTTTTTAATGATATCAATCTTTGGATTTCATGTGTTGATATTATACTTTCAGTTAATTTTTAGTATGGATTAGTTAGAAATTGTAAAAGGTAACAATTTGTAAGATATCATATGCATTTTAAAGGTCAATCGACTGACATTTTAGGGTTAGGACTATATAGGTCACAACTGCTTAATAGAGGAAGAAGACATACAACAGAACTGATACATGAGAAATAGAGTGGTCTTTAGGGACAAATAAAATAGTCTCTTTTCTATTTCATAAAATTTTGAGTTAAATAAGGTCGTACAACTTCTATACAGTTGACCTCATCTTCAATCTTAAGTGACTTATTATCTTTTATATCCATTTAAAAATTCATTGGATGAAAAACAATGCACAAAATCGAGGTTAATATATAAACACATCACCTTCTAATAACGTCTGCCCTTGTCTGGAGCCAACGATTCAATGACTTCCTTGTAACCTTTAACCTTTGGGGAATCATAGTTCTCCTGGTAGAAGATAAGGGCTTTAATGATAAACTGTTATTTTCAGCCGTTTCCAATAAAACTGTATTTGCATCTATAGGAGCCTGCATATCAACCCATTTATCCTTTTTAACTTGAGGTTCAATCAACAGTGCCTCGAGCCCCAATTCGTCCTGCAGAAGTTTCTTTACTGCACCTTTTCCCTCAGATATTAGTGAGGATCATCTAAATATGACTTTGAAATTCAGGCTGCTTAATTATGGATTTAGCTTTATATGTGCAGTGTTAATCTGCCTGATAGACAAGGTATAAGATATTTGAACTGGTAATAGCAAGCTACTGAAGGTTATGGCTGAAAAGTGTTGCAACATTGTGAATTGGGTTATCCAGAGAGAATCATCTCTTCAAATTATTGAAATGCCTGCACAACTAGACCTGCATTGGAACATATGACCATGTTAACTGTGTTGGGGGTAATACCAGCTGATACCATATCTTTCTTAATTTTCAGTGCCATTTGCCATAACCTTGCATTTGCAAAGACCTAATGCATACGTTGTTAAGAGAAGGATATATCATAAAAGATTCGTTGAACAGGTTATAGAAACAGAGATTGTCTCAAAGAATACTAGAAAGATTAAGCATATAAAAAACAGATGGGCATGCTTGCGTGTCCTTGGAAACATATAATGTGTATCCCAGATCATGAGCATTGACATTCATTATACTGTTGAATACATAAACATTTGGAGTGACTCTTTGATTAACCAATTCCTCCTGCAAATCAAAATCTAGAAACGTGACAAAACAAGGGATGATTTTACATGAAAAGCATTGAAATGATAATCAAACTGACCATACTGCACACACACTGAATGAAGCCAGTTACAATCACATTAGCAGAAATAAGAGTCTGGGGAGTAGAGGATGGTTAGAATTTTTTTGTTGGCCATAGGGCACAACTCCAACCAAGTGAAACACTTGGAAGAAAATTTCATACATCTCTAAAGGTTGTGGCTGGAAGAGGATGGCTCTGCTTGTTACTGATTTTGGATGCATGTTATACTCGGCTGAGGAAGGGGGCACCATTAGTTCCAGTTCATGGCTCCATCTTCCACCTTCATAAAATAATATAAATAATGTATTTGATAATAATGTAACACTTGGCGATTGTCTCATTATTTTAATTGTATTTAAGGTGTTTTCTTAATAAAATGAAAATAACGTGCTTGGGAAAGTTTAATTATGTTTATATGGTTTATTAATAAATATTAAATTAATTGTTTAAAGTAATTGAAGGTACTCACTATCTATAGCGGTTCATTTTTTAGGTTTCCCAAAAATACAGGTTTGTAAATATTTCTTAGAAGCTGTGGAAAAGAAACACCGAATGAGGTATGCCTTACACTTGTTACTGTAGGTAGAGTGTTTGTGCATGGTCTTATTTTCTTGAGTCATCCCTAAACTTCTTTGTGCTCGGCTGCAGTGGTCGTGAACCTCTTCCAGATGACGACCACAACAAATTGAACTTGGATGATTAAATGAACTAGAAGCAAGATTAGCGAGAACGTCTATTCAAATTTAGGAGGCTAATGCTAAAGTTTGAGGTGTAGTCTTTCAGTCCACATGCATTTTTAAGTGTCCACTCTATGATCCTGCTGCAAAATGGCTTAAGACTGCTGAGCTAGCTGTGTTATCCATCATTATCTCATACCATGGATTTCGGAACTCATAATTTCGCTACTTCGAAAGACACATTCAAAGCTGACCTTGATTAATCATGCAAAACTTGAACAAATTCATGTATAAGAGTTATTGGCAATAAAACTTTCTGCAAATTCTCATTTCATTGTAACACCGTGATCATTTTTACAGCAAATGACAGCATTCTCTTTACCGGTGATGTCTCGGTTTACTTGTGTTAGAAGTACTATTACATCACTTAACCGGTGCAAGAATAGTATACAACAAAAGGAATGACACTATTATTATTGCTCCCACTAAGGTAAACCCCGGACTTGTCCACAACATGAGATTCGACTTCTCTGCTCTCTTTATTGGATCGACCTCCTCGGACAAGGGATAGTTTGATCGTCTAGGATTCCAGGTAACATACTTGTTCGGAGAAAACCCCGAAAGGAGTGACTTTTTACTTTGCTTCCTGAAATTTGACCATGCCTTATCCCAGTCAGTTGAGAATTTATCACCTGAGTGTGTTCGAGAGTAATCGAGTAGAAGGAATGATGTCAGGGCAATATAAATTAAGGAGTAACTAAATCATAAAGAAATGTGGTCATGTACTAACAGTTCAGTTAGTCTAATCCAAAAATTTATCTACATATCACCAGAAATACAGATCTAGCTTATATGCGATGAAGACTGCCATATCCACCAATATCACTTAATACGGTATAGAGATTGTATTTGCTAGTATTTTACTTTCAAGGCATGTAAAAGACGGAATTATTGAATAGACATGGACATACAAAGATAAATGTTGTGTTTGATGCAAACATGATTGCAGGAAGCAAGGACAAAGGTTGTGTTTGTGTATGATATTATATATATAGGTATAGGATCTACTTACACAGTATAAAACTTCTTTAGTTTTACACAAATTTAAGATGAATGAAAATAGATGGCTCAAATTAACGGTAGGAAATGACAAGATATTCACCGGAGAAAAGAACAAGGAGTTAATTTCATTTGTCTATTTTTACTCATCTAATGGTCTTAAATTTGTGTAAAACTAAAAAAGTTTTACAGTGTAAGTGGACCCTAACCTGTACATATATGTATTAAAAGCTAATTTATCAATGCATGCACGTTATAGCAATGAGGAGAAATGATAAGGTTATGGAACATACACTGTGACAACTCTAAAAAGAAGCGAAACGAAATTAGTTTTGAACAAGGGCAGGTAACAAGATGCTATAGCAAAAGTCGATATATTGCATGACGTAGATAGGGGAACGGGTTTCTCCGTTGCGACGTTGAAATTCAACCCCTATATTAGTTAGATATCATTTCTTAAGAGGTTGTATGACCAGCTCCAGGTTCAAGTATAACTGCATTGCCTCTATCCTTAATTCTAAAATATTCATTGTGCATACGCAAGTCTTAATCTGAAGGAAAGTGGAAGAGCTTACGATGCTAAGATATGAATAACAGATATATTGAATGCAGCCTCTTAAGAATGCTTGCAAAGCTCTGGATTCTAGTATAACATCACTGCTTCAATCCTATTTTCTCAATTCTAAGGTATTCACTGCGCATACACAAGTCTTAATCTAGAGGAAATAATATTTTAAATGTGCTCTCCAATTATACCAAATTCACCAACTATTGCTTAAAAATCAGATGAAAAATATTGGGTGTGGGTATCTTTACCTGAGATTTACGATGATCACAGGAAAATTGGAATAGTATGATAAGGATAAACTTGACAAGAATCTTAATTCTAGATAGATATCACAACTACTGGCGAGGTATATTGAAGGTCTTAAAAAGCTTATCCCATTTACAATTCCTCCGCTCGAGCTTGGACTTTAAAGATACTTCAGATTTTCGAGTATCTGTGAATCCTGTTCTTTAACACAAACTAATAAACCTCCATTTGCTTAACCTAGAACAACAGTAAAACTTCAACATCAGCTGCTGCCTGCAATTGTAAGGACCCAAAATTAACAACATTTCCCTTGTTGCTTTATGTTCAGGGTTTCAACTAGGGGTGGATCGACGGGGTGCAGCGGCGGTCGCACCCCTAGAAATTTCATTGTCCTATATAATTTAGGTATTTTCTTTTGAAAGGTTTGCAGCCCGGAAAAAAAATCTTACACCCGTCCTTGGTTTTAACGTCACTTTGCATACACTTATTATATCTAAGGTATTGTCCTCTTTGAGGATCCACCATGCCTTAAAAGATTTGCCATTAGTTCTTTCCTTAGAAAGGATCAAGAATCTTTCACTTAACAAAATCTACTGATCGAGAGTAAGAAAATCTACTGATCGAGAGTTCCCCGTCTTCAACCAAGAGAAATGCACTTAAGTTACAAATTCTTGAGCGACTAGTGAGTATTTAAAGAAGATAGGGTAAACTAGACTCATGACCATTCAATCACGGGATTCTAATATGACACCGATCTTCTAATTTTAACAATCAAACAATTTAATGATGTCAATCAAGTCACATGCGAAACAACAAACGTTATAGTTAATAAAATTGGTATAATTATACATTTCATACCATTGTTGTCGCCGTTCTGTTGAGGTTGCGGCTGAGAATCCTTTCTGGAGCAGAAAGTTTTGAAATAAGAAGAACAAAAAGAAGATTTCTGGGAAGTTGTCCAAAAGCTTTGAGATTTTAAGCTCCCGAGCCCAGCTCCAACATCCATTAGCATCTCACAACTGTAGATTCCAATTACACTTACTCAGCCTTCATAATGGTTTTTCTTTCTAGAAACTACAAAAAAAAAATTCATAAAATCTGGGTTCTTTGTTTTCTTATCCATTGGGAGAAAATTGAAACCTCAAGCTCTTCCACGTCATTTACTCATTGACACGTGGCAACATCAGCAGTTTTTAACTATTTTATTTTTATCTTTAAATATATTAGTGGACACACAACCTAAGGGATGTAATCTCGACCGTATGGTCAACGAGTCCGAACAGATTATGGACCAAACATACGTAGGGAGGACATAGGATCCGAACTGATGAGTTTTGATAGGATAGGATTGATTTTTTTAATAAAAAAATTAGGTTTGAATCGGATCGGATTTTTTAAAGATGGTGTTCGAGTCGAATTCGGATTTTGGGTGAAAACTATCATACACGACTCGATCTTGAAAAAATATAATTTTACCTTATATATTTATAAATAATTGCAATAATAGCCCTCTATATATTATTTTTTCAATTAAATCACTATTTTTATTAAATAAATTTTTTTATTATTATTTCTGGTCGTATCGGGTCGGGTTATTCCCGGGTCGAATTTCGGTGGAGGAGTCATTGTTCTCGGATCGAATAAGACGGACAAAAAATCTGACCCAACCCGACTCATGCATATCCCTAAACATCGCGGTGCTGTCGACGGATCGACCGGCTTAGGAAGCTATCAACCTATTATTAGCATTCTTGTGCGCCTTCGCCCATGGAAACTATGGTGTGAGCACTTGGAGGAAGTTAGTCAAAACTTCTACTAATAATAATCTTTTATATAAAATAGGGTTAATATAAGTGGTAATTTATTTTTTCTGCAAACAAGGATTAAATTAGGGTAAACGACCATAATATCATTAAACTATAGAAATAATTAACATTGAAATGATTCTTTCAATATAAAATTTAACAAAGAGTAAAGAGGGCACGGCGTTTCTCTTTGTATGAATGTTAAAATTATTATTCATTGAGAATTCTTTTATTCTTGACCTGATATTCATGACATACATACAAGTATTGTATATCGAAAGAAGTCTTAAAACATTTAAAGCTTATAATGACTTAATCATTATAGTTTATCGAAAAATATATTACAATTTTAGAGGGATATCATGATCGAATAATTAATAATACAATGAAATTTTTTTATGGGTATGTGTTCATCTAGAGTAGAACAACTTTTGTGAAAAAAATATAATAGTAAATTTGTTCTAGTAGCTCAACTATGAAATTTGAGATAGAAGCTCTTGACTTAGCCTAGCAAGAGATCAAGTGCTCTAGAAATCTATCTTGTTGAAAATTCTTAAAATTTATTATCATTTGTATTTTTACGTGACTCATAAGATACATGTTGAGTTAATCGAATGGATGAAATAGCTAAGAGGGTAAATTAGCAGTTAAAATTTTTGGTGGAAGATTAAGAGAAAAATATAAAAATTGAACACAAGAATTTAGAGTGGTTCGACTTTATCAACCAAAGTCTACATCCACTGCCTTAGCTATCCGCACTAAGGATTTCCACAAATTCACTAATTTGAATATACCTTTGAGGATTAGGTGTAACCTTACAACTCCCTCAAGAATTAAACCCAAATTCTTGAGACACTCTCTCAAAGAGAAAATTACAAATTGCAAACTTATAAGATTCTCACTAGGAATGTGTTTGCACAATTTAAGAACAAATAAGAACACTTAAGAAATGAATACAAATGAGTACAAAGAGTATTCTTTGAAAGCAAAAGGAATATTGAAGAATTTTGACTTGATTTGGCTCAAATTTATTGTTTTTGGCTTTTTCTTTTGTCTCTTGTCTTCACAAATGACTTGGGATCTTGTTTTTATATTCCCTCATTCAATTCCAACCATTTTAGTTGTTGTGTGAGTGAATAGAGCCGTTGGGAGGTAGTTTCCCGCATTAAATGCAGTCTAGAAGCTTGTAGTATTTGTACTCGATCTCTCTGTATCAATACTCCTTGCATTAAATACAAAAATATGACTGTTGGGAAGCTTTAATATCGATACTATTACAAGGTATCGATAATACTATATTCAGTAGTATCGATACTGTATATAGTATCGGTACCATTTTAGTATACTGGAATTTTGATGGATTCAAAACCAAAAGTTAGTATCGATAGCACTACTGAGAGTATCGGTACTACTATACTAAGTAGTATCGATATTGTCTACAGTATTGGTACCATTTTAGTATTCTATTTTGACACACTTGTATACAGTATCGGTACTTCCTTAGCAGTATTGGTATTACTTTATCATTTTGGGCTTCAGCATCGATATATGTATTGATACTTCTTGAACAGTATCGATACTATTCTAGTAGTATCGGTACTACTATGCTTAAAATCATTTTTGACTCAATTGAAGTTCGAAACCCTTAATAAAAAATTATTTCAAAAATATTTCCAGTATAGGACTCAATTTTTTCAATAGAGTGAAGAGTAAAATTAACCTTTTAACTTTAAAGAATAATTTATATATTCAAACCTTTGAATCAAATATAATCTTAAAATTTGTAAAAACTATTTAACAATTTTTGGTTTATCAAATATCAAAGTGTTTTCAACAATCTCCCCTTTTTTATATAACAAAATATTTAAGAATTTTAAGATTTTCTTGAAAAAATAGTCCCCCTTTTTTGTTAAATCAAAAAGATACAATTCAAATAACCAAGATACATAATAAAGTTGTGAAGAGAAAAAGTGTCAAATAAGTTAGTCAACATAATTAATATCCAAAGGCAGTGGGCATGGTCACAATAAAAGAAAACATGGTTGAAAAGATGTCAAATATTATAAAGTGTAAAAGAAATCTATCAGACCATCCAATACACAAAAGAAATATCAAATTCAAAATATCAAAGTCTAAGAAAAAACACACGAAAATGTAAGTTCAAAGTATGACATACAACACCAACGAAAATGCAATTAGAAAAGCAAAAATGATCAGGCATCCGACGATGATCAGGATCCAAACGATGTGCGCGGAGAGAAGCAAAGTATTTAGAGAGAGCGTCGAGCTTATCTGTCATCACGTCGAATCTAGCGAGGATGTCTTGTCAGGAATCCATATGCATTGCTTGCAGTCAACTACTGAGAAGCTATCTCGGATACCTGAGCCCCCAAGGCAGTAAAGTGGGACTCCATAGAAACAAACCTCAAATCCAATGTCTCCATCATGGACTGAAAGTAAGGAGGCATTTCACCACCAGCGCTAGGATGATCGTCAGGAACGTGATTCACTGGATCATCAACGTCATGTAAAACATCATCGTCATGAGATAGAGCTAGAGCCGCTCGAGATGAACTTACACCATGTGCCTCTTTTGCTTTCCTTTTCCAATTGTCTCCAACTTTAGTCCATCCGACTTACGAAGAGAGGTGAGATCAATATGGGTACCCAAGGGGATGACACCATCAAAATCGACACTAAGATCGACTTTTATAAAGAAATTACTAAGAAGACAACCATAAACAAGATACTCGACACTCTTAGAAAGAATATGGTTAATGGTGTCTACTAGTTCACCAAAGATGATTTGAGCGAGGTTAATTCTTTTATTTTCTTGAAAACAGTGAATCCACCAAATGTCAATGCTACAGAGAGAAGAATATT